CCATCCAACTCGTCTATTACCAACCAGGGAGCTCTATGCAAGTCAATGGGACTCGCTGTTCGTTGAAAATGTACGCTAAAGGTCCTGGTGTGTGAGGAACTCCACGGATTGGTCCATTCTGGAACCGCATGACGTCATTTTGGTGACCAGGAAGAACTAAATGGAAACAGAGAAATCTCCAACGAGGCGTTCTGGGGCAGCATAGACAGGTCTTTTCTGTGTTAGAGTTGTACTCCCTGCAGACCATTTACATGCAGAAAAAGCTACATAACACACAAGGGGACGGGTAATAACCAAAAAGCATGACATGGGACATTTAAAAGTCTACTTGACTCACACCTGTGATCGTTGTTGTTTTTATGTATGCCTCTTAATGTGTGTATATGTATATGTGTATCTATATATATATATATATGAGTATAATTAAGTGGGTGTACAGGTGTGTATATATACATATATGTATATATTTAGTTTATATTTGTATTCTTTGGGACGGTGAGAAACAGCAATTTGATCTCCCTGTCTGTATTACACACAGAGGAATTGACAAAAAAGTTGACTTTGACTTTAGTGTTATGTTTAAAGGTTGGAGTCCTTTGTATTAACTGGTCGAAAGTTTTGAAAACACACACTAATTTAATGATAGTGCCCAATAAAATGCTAATAACTTACTCCGTAAAGTTAGTCTTTTTTATACACTATGCTGGATGAGGCTGACGCCCCAAAATCTAAACGTCCCCCTTTAGAAACAAAGCTGAGGACATCTTCATGAGAAGAGTTTCTCACTCACCTGTACTGTGCGTTCTGGAAATGGTTGACCTCTGAAACTTTCTGTGTGGGACAGCCCATGAAGAAGAGTGGCACAAAGAGGAGGGTGGATGTGGTCAGCATGGCAGCAGAGAAGCGAGGGATGGTCTTCAGAGAGAGTCCCGCCCTTTTCATGATGACCCCGCCCATCAACATCCCCACGGCTACAGCGGGCAGATTCACAGCACCTGGGAACCATCAGCAGCTTAGTGGCCTCCACGTAACCATGGAAATGATATCCTTCATTCATCATTAGGGTAATTTCTTACTTTTACATTTTTCGACACTTTTGTTGTGTTAACGCATGTGACATACATTTGAGCAAGAATGTGAGGTTTCTTTTCTCTGAGGGGTTGTAGTTAAACCTCAGCTCTGATAGTGTTTAATAAAGTGCAGCCAAAATACAGTCAAATCTCCCTATAGAGACCCATGAAGACCACAATGTTGGACCGGGGGCCATGACAGCGTAAACAAATGCATTCCATTTGATCTAGAGCTTTAATGTATAGCACTAGATGGAGCCTTTTTCACATGTTCACCCAAAGGCCATTACATACTAATCTTCTGTTTCCCTGCACAAAGCTCTCATGATCACGACTGCAGTTGGTTTCAAGATGTTAGTCAGTGTAAGTGAACATTTGAATATGAATTGTCCCTGTGATGATACCCTTACAGAGGGATGCACAGGGGTTAATATGTCCATAGGGGTTTGCTGCACATCCTGTGCTATTTTATTCGTTTGCTGAAACAAATGATAGACATAGTCTTTGCGGTGCTGCAAAAGGGAAAAGGCAGCGGAAACCCAAAAATTATTTTCATATTTGAAAAGATGACAGTACAAACCTAAATCAGTGGCCATGGGGCAAAACAGCTGACTATTAAAACTCTTCTTATACACTGCTTCATTGCAATTCCAAAGCGTTCATAAAATGGTTTGATACATGACCTGAACTAGATTTACTGCTGGCATTGATTGCAAGCACTGAAGGGGCAACAGCAATCTACATTAGCTTTCCTGAAGTCCCATCTTTATGTTGACAATTCTGCAGTACGTACCTACGAGCAGGCTGCTGTAGGCGAGGGAGGCGCTGTACTGCCGCTCCAGAAACTTGTTGAGGAACGTAGCGAGCCCTGCGATCACTGAGGAGAAGCAGCACTGAGCCAGGACCAGCATCAGGAAGAGAGGGCTCAACAGCAGGTGCACAAACATCCTGGGAAACACTGATCACAACCAAAAACACTTGACTTCAGAGAAAACTCTCTTATTTATCTGATACAATCTAACAATATGTCTGAATATAATAAACTTACTTTTCAGGAAATCAAGTAAAGAGACATCTTGCTTCTTGAAGTCATCATTCAGGTCAGTTTCACTTCTCATCCCCTGGAAAACAACATGCAGTGTGAACTATGTGGAGGCCAATATGTGATTGTGCTGTGTAAAGAAAACAATTCTACCACTACAGGACAGTGCCTTCAGATGCCCTCTTCCTCAACACTGCAGACATGTTTCAAATCTTTTAATATCAAATGAGTAGATGTTATATGAAATGTAGATTTTATGTACAACTCATAACAAGTCTTGGGCAAAGCTGAGAGAGACATCATTTGGTTTCACAAAGACGTGGAGGAAAAAATCTGTCTTGCTCTTTTATATTTTTGTAAAGGTCAAAAAATGATTCACAAGTACAAATCAATTATTGGGAAATTAAATGTGTTCAGTGACAGTTACCTTGTGCCTTATAGCTGGTGAAAACCCAGAGAAAGAAAGACAAGTGTAATGTTGACATCAAGCCAGTCAATAAAACATGAGCAGCATACTTTCACATGATCCACAGATAATGGGTGGATTAATAAACCCGCCTAATGCGCACACACACACACACACACACACACACACACACACACACACACACACACACACACACACACACACACACACACACACACACACACACACACACTACTAGTATACGTAC